AGAATACATACAATTTTATCGTCACTTTCATACAATCCACACACACTGCACCATCTTGTGCGCTCTGAATCTATAAAAATAAACTATAATTACAGTCTGCAATTCGTAAATTTGAATAACCAAAGCAACACTGTACAAGCAAAAAAAGTGGTGTTTTTTTACCTACATTCGTTGACCAGAAACTGTCATGTTTTTTCATTTCTAGCTAAAAAATTGAGCTTTTGTATGTAACTAATGAAACCATCACTGTTGGATTGTCAAGCTGCATTTTTCTAGGTCATACCTGTTTTTGAAAATGATGCAACGCAACGTCCGAAAATGATGAAACCCATTTTTGGCTCTACCTGTGGATCTGATCAAAATTTCTGCAATTTCTCCTCGGTAACTTGCCAAATCATATTTCGTGGTTGAAACTTTTGGCTTTTGATTATGAGTATGCATTCAGCAAACTGCTGAATGAGCACTTTAGCAAGGGGTTACATTTATAAAACAAACATTTGTTGCGACCAATATATAGAGAATAGCTTTTCATAGTTTATATTTCACTGATCAAGCTCGGTATGCCGGAGCAACATATTAGTTTATATAAATTTTATCTCAAAATTCTATTATACAACATTGGATTCTCGTCGTTGTCTTGCCTTTTTCTTGACTATATGCTTTACTCTTGAATCAGTCATAGTCATCTGATTCCACGTCCTCCATCTCTTCGCAAACATTTTGATCAAAGATTTTAAAATCATTATCACCATCATCCAAATCACCATCATCATCAAAACCCCCATCATCATTGTCATAATCAAAATCTTCACCAGGATCAAAATCATCATCAGCAACATCATCATCCGCACCAAGCTCCATACCAAAAATGTTGGTTGGGTCTGCGCTCATTTTGGCTTCCGCCGAATCTCAAAAGTAGAGATTGGTTAATAAATAAGGTTCTAATGAAATTAAGGCTTAATGTGCCACTTCAGGATCTTGCGTACAGATTTGGGGCATCGCTATCCATAGTTTCCAGAATCTTTTCAGCTTGGATGATCAACCTTGATAACAGACTAAGTTTCCTCATATCTTGGCCAGAAAGAGAAGATCTATGGAATACTATGCCACAATGTTTTCAATATGCATTTGGAAAGAAAACAGCAGTGATCATAGATTGTTTTGAGGTTTTCATTGAGAAAAGAGGTGAAAAGAGAAGTCAAATGTTGCATTGCAAACGTTGATCATATTCAACCCAAAAAAGTTTTAACCTTTGCAGACACATCCTTTCCAAACATGGACCCGATGCAGTCAACTCAGCCGAGGAAGGTGGATGTGAATGCCCCACCTGCGGTCTGGAATCTACAGATCAAGAGTGGAAAACAAGCAGCGACAACAACATCTGAAATCAGGAGGTAAATAACTTTAGATACATAAATAACAAGTAGGAATGTTGTATCAGTATGAATGAATAGAAAAGATGTATCAATATGATAAATTTTTCCAGCTTTTATTGCAATATCTCTTGAACCATAGTCAATGGAAAAGGAATTGAATAGGAAAGCTTTAGTCTTTCAACAGCGACGTTATTGTTTGCGATTTCCTATGTCACGTGACAAGGTCTAATCAAGTCACAATATTGTTGAACAATGCAAAATGCCGGGTGAAAACTGTGGTTTTTATGGATGTACGAACAACAGAACTACCAATTTAAGTAGAAGAAGAAAAGATCCGTCGATTTCTAAAATTTCTTTTTGCCAAACTCCATCACCAAGCGAAAGAGACAAAACAAAAGAGAAAAAGATTACTACGAGAATGAATGGATAAGAATTGTTTGTCGAACACGTGTAAGGGACAGCGATCTAGACAGACAGTTTAAAGGGAACAAATTGTATTTGTGTGAAACACATTTTAATCTGAGCGCAGCTGCAAAGTATTTCGCACAGGATCAGTTCCCAGCATAAATTTGCCAAGGAAGTCGCTAGACGATGGCGAGGTGAAAGAAGAACGCCGGTCCCTTGTCAGGGATTTAGCATTGAAGGGGAAATACACATCCTTTTCGAAATTTATAAAAGGAGTTGAAACCTTGAAGATTCATCCCTGGTCTTATGAGGTTACAGATCGTCAGGTGAATTTCACATTGGCTGACAACAAATTTTGGGTGCCCTGGTTTTATGTGAGCATTTATGATGAATTTTCTGTGGCATGCTTTTACTATGGATGGAGGTTGTCTGACATTAATGTGCCTGAGATTCAACAGTATGGAGTTACAAAATTTGTATCTTCAATAGTTACCTGCTGGGTTTACTGGCAACAATACACTTAGTCATGGAGTGCCGCAGAGACCATCTCTTAATGAAACTGTCCTCCCATTTCTCTGCAAGAATTTTGTGCAGAGTAAAGCCTGTACTATACTTTTACAAAACAAATGCAGTGCTTTGTGCCAAGATCCAATTTATTTTACAATCAACATTGCAGCATCAGAACGAAAGATCTATTTTCTTTCTGATGTTCCACATTTGATTAAAACAACAAGAAATTGTTTGTTGTCTTCTGGTTTCTCTGCCAATTCAAAGCGCCTGATGTTGAATAATGGCAAGCATTTGCTATGGAGCCATATTGCCCAATCCTATCACAAGGATCGTGAGCTGGGTCTTCATAAACTTGTCAAAATTGGACCAGAACATATAAATATTTCTCCATTTGGTAAAATGAGAGTATCATATGCAGTTCATATGCACTTGCGCTGACACATTACTTCCCAAATGGGGAGGCAGATGAGACAGCAAAGCTTTGCTCTCTGGTCAATGATTTCTTTGACATATGCAATGTGAGATCCACCACAGAGTACACAAGAAAGAGAAACAGCAATTTAGAGCCATTTAAGTCAGTGGATGACCTACGCCTTCCATGGATGAAGGATTGCTTTTTGCAATACTTTGAAAAATGGTTACAAACAATAGAGGAAACTGATGAGATCTCCAAGGAAGGTAAAAGCAAAATGTTTATCTCCAAACAAACATTTGAGGGATACAAAATTACAATTAACTCGACAATTGAGCTTATCAGGTTTATTTTACTTAACAGTGTCAAGTATGTTTTGACAGAGAGATTTATGCAAAATGTGCTGGAAGAATATTTTGGCTACCAAAGGTCCCATGGGCGAAGATGTGATAAACCGATGGCCAGCGAATTTGGTTACAATGACCAAATTATTAACATGCAACAAACAATAGCACCAAAGGGCAATGTTAGGTGCAAACATTCGCTGAAATGGTCAAGAGTGAGTGATGAACCACTTCTAACAAAACAAATTAAAAAGTAACTGTTATTTGTTTATCGATTTTTATTAATATGTCTTAGAATACAAGAAGACTATTATAAATCACATATCAAATTGAAAATGAAAAAGCTTAAAGTTTGTACCAGCTTCAAAAGATAAGCTGTCGCCAACTTTAAAAGATGTAAATTTGTTCCTTCCACACTTCTATCAGGACAAAATTCGAGCATTTGCACAAAAATCGTTATTCTGTATAGAAGCTATCTTGGTAGTTCTTGTAATGTGATAACAAATTGTTTATGGATGACTGGAGCCGTAGGGGAACTTCACTTGGCAGTCTTTCAATTAATTCTGCACTGTACATATTTTCTTTCAATGCATTCTCCTTAAAGTGCATATGCCATGAAAATTTTTATTCGCTTAAACTATCAAAGAAACATCCCTGGGAACGATGGTGAACTTAGTTTTTTCATTTGCGACTTACTTTCTTCTAAAATTGAGGTTTTCTGACACCCACTCGAGCTCAATTGTGTCACAGAAAAACGTGTTCTGGCCTGTGATCACGTGACCTCTGTGACGTAAAGTGGTTGTGTATTCTTCAGAAAAAGCTGAGCTGCCGTATGGATTCACTATGTGATGGCACTTCTGTTGTCCCCCTAATCGATGGTTTTTTGCATGATTATTACTCCAGCAATGTCATAAAATACCGGAAAATGATCTAGGTCAATTTTTGGGTAATTACAAAATTAATAAAAATAGAAATGACATGATATAATATATATATATAGAAATGACATTATATATATATTGCCTGCCATAGTCATAGTTTCGCACTTCGCAGTGCCAACATTGTTTGCAAGAAAGTCATATCCAAAAATAAATATGATTTATTAAAACAAAATTAGAAAACTTTTACTATAAAACAGGTACAAACGTTGCAGTAAATTAGTATGCACGGCTTTAAGGAACGAATATACCTCTGATGTGTGTTTTCAAAAAAGTGTAAATTGAACTTACCAAGACTATCTGATTGCCGTTTTTGAATTCTACTTTCGAATATGTCACACAAAAGTAGCAGCGGAGATTTCGAAGGAAGATATTGTTGTGCTGGACTACCATCTGGAAAAAGCTGTACCAACAGAAGTTCGACGCCTGATATAACTTCGCACAAGTTACCAAAAGACGAAAAGATACAAAAGCTGTGGGTGCAGTATATAAAATTGCATCGTAAAGATTTCGAGCCAGCATCTTACTCAACGGGACCGTTTCTTTGCTCAGAGCATTTTCTCCCAACTGATTTTTCACGTACGTTTTCCTCCATACCTGGTTTCGACACTAAAAACACCAAAACCTTTCTTCGACTAGACGCTGTACCTTCAGTCCGCAAAACAAAACAAGATGAGGAACTTAGCAAGCGTGAAAAGCGCATGGTGCTTGCAATTGTTTTTAGTGATTGCCTGTCAAATTGCTATTGTTTAAAAGCTGAGATACGTTATTGATAATGCCTCAAAAACCCCGGGGGCACCCACATAATACTTTAAATGTGGATTTGAAGTTTTGCTGTCAGCTCCCTTCGTAGAGTGTTTCTTATCAAAACT